CGTGCCTTAATTTCAGTATATCCCTAGCTCTCGCTTTAGGTACAGTGAAGCCCCGTTAGTCCGGACTCCGATAATCCGGAAGTCTCGCCTCCCGGGCGATTTCAGCTTGTTACCAATCTATGCCTATATAATTTGCCTCGATAATCCAGGAAATTCGGTTTCCGGAACCGGACGGTAAGTAGCTGTCACCAATCAGTAAAATAAACAGTAAATTGCTTCACAGTCCGGACACTGTAAGTCGTGTTCACGAACCGTAACAACACCGCCCGGCGATGTTTACTTAATTAACTGGCCAACTGGGTTGTTGTTTTAATTAGACATAAAAAGCTCCCGACTGAAGATACTGTACATTTACACTTTGATTGACACCACAATACAAAGGCGTGGATGACAAGTGAACTGTTTTGTGATTGGTTAATGTACTTTGACAGAGAGATCCGGTCACGTGGACTAAAAGTGATTTTGCTTTACGACAATGCTGCAAGTCACAAGTGTGCTTCGCTAACTTTGCGAAATGTAACCAAATACCACGTCTCATATTCAACCGATGGATGCAGGAATAATTCGGACATTCAAGGCATACTACAATAGATCGCTTGTTAGACATTACCTCACCTGTGCTGAGGAAGGACGTGATCAGACACGTCGGATCAACATGCGGATGTCACTCGGTAAAATTATTGATGTGATGAATTAAGCTTTACATTAAATGCTTATTTGTTTTATCCAGATTCGTGTCGTTTTTGTAATTCTTAGGGAAGCAACTTGGGTCTTGATTCAGTAGTCCGGACTATTCGCAATCCGGACGAATTTACTGAGAAACGCAACCGTCCGGATTAACGAGGCTTCACTGTACTCGTGTCGTAAACATAGTATGACATGGGCACGAATATAATATCCTCTATGTATGTCAGCTTGTATGTTGGTAGAGTATTCATCTACAACTGATTGTGGTCGCACTATACTACTGTCAGAAGTACTGACTGGTAGTGGTAGCCTCACATGTAGAGGGATGTACCTGGACTCCTGTATTTGAGGGTCCCGTGGCCTCATACTCTTAATTTTCAGGGGTCCTAACAACAAAATGGGGGGTCCCAGACACTTCAATATTATTATTAATACTTTATTGTATTGTGTATTATGATCATCGCATTGTTACAGTAATTAAATTGCAAATGATACCATAACCCAGCTAGTAGTAAACTCAGTGATAACTTATTGTTACTTGATTGTAATTTTTACAAAAAGTATTTGTACTTTTCTGCGTCCTTGTGGATGCGCTAATAAATTTTGTTGCGTCCATTGTCAATTTTTATGCACATAGGACGCAGGTATTCGCTTCCTGTAAATCCCTGCACTTACATACATAAATGTTACTAGATGCGTAAAAATATCTTGAAACCTTATTTACATCTCCCCTCTGTTATAGTTATGACATGGCCCAGAGAGCCTCTGCATCAATCAGACCTCACATGGCCTTGTAATACTCTCCACTTCATGCCCTACATTCTGTGTGATGCATCTAATAAATTAGAGGGGAATCCATTTAAGCAGGCCGTGATGGCATGTTGATGGGATTTCATCGATGAGTTTTATGACAGTATTAAGTGAGTAGAAGCCTGATGAAAGAAGCCCTCTTGGGGACACACAGGTTACAGGGTCGGCTACAGTTTCACTTCTCATCTAGAGTACCAACAGTGAACATGACAGACATGTCAGCTTTTCTGTCGTTTGATGCAAGCAGAGTGCCTTTATTTAACGATACTGTTGATAAGAATTCTTTCTACTCATTCCTCACATTACATTCACTTGGACAGTATATCAACTTATCAGAGCCCAACATCAATAAGAGTATACTGTTGGGACTGACTTTATCCTAGAGAAAGGAGTTGAATGTTACCTGTAGGACACCCTCCATATAAGGGTTTACTGTTACCTGTAGGATAATCTCCATATAAAGGTTTACTATTACCTTTAGGACACCCTCCATATAAGGGTTTACTGTTACCTTTAGGACACCCTCCATATAAGGGTTTACTGTTACCTGTAGGACACCCTCCATATAAGGGTTTACTGTTGCCTGTAGGATAACCTCCATATATTATAAGGGTTTACTGTTACCTTTAGGACACCCTCCATATAAGGGTTTACTGTTACCTGTAGGACACCCTCCATATAAGGGTTTACTGTTGCCTGTAGGATAACCTCCATATATTATAAGGGTTTACTGTTACCTTTAGGACACCCTCCATATAAGGGTTTACTGTTACCTTTAGGACACCCTCCATATAAGGGTTTACTGTTACCTGTAGGACACCCTGCATATAAGGGTTTACTGTTACCTGTAGGACACCCTCCATATAAGGGTTTACTGTTACCTGTAGGACAACCACCATATAAGGGTTTACTGTTGCCTGTAGGATAACCTCCATATAAGGGTTTACTGTTACCTGTAGGATAATCTCCATATAAAGGTTTACTATTACCTGTAGGACAACCTCCATAGAAGGTTTTACTGTTACCTGTAGGACACCCTCCATATAAGGGTTTACTGTTACCTGTAGGATAACCGCCATATAAGGGTTTACTGTTACCTGTAGGATATCCTCCATATAAGGGTTTACTGTTACCTTTAGGACACCCTCCATATAAGGGTTTACTGTTGCCTGTAGGATAACCTCCATATAAGGGTTTACTGTTACCTTTAGGACACCCTCCATATAAGGGTTTACTGTTACCTTTAGGACACCCTCCATATAAGGGTTTACTGTTACCTGTAGGACACCCTCCATATAAGGGTTTACTGTTGCCTGTAGGATAACCTCCATATATTATAAGGGTTTACTGTTACCTTTAGGACACCCTCCATATAAGGGTTTACTGTTACCTTTAGGACACCCTCCATATAAGGGTTTACTGTTACCTGTAGGACACCCTGCATATAAGGGTTTACTGTTACCTGTAGGACACCCTCCATATAAGGGTTTACTGTTACCTGTAGGACAACCACCATATAAGGGTTTACTGTTGCCTGTAGGATAACCTCCATATAAGGGTTTACTGTTACCTTTAGGACACCCTCCATATAAGGGTTTACTGTTACCTGTAGGACAACCACCATATAAGGGTTTACTGTTGCCTGTAGGATAACCTCCATATAAGGGTTTACTGTTACCTTTAGGACACCCTCCATATAAGGGTTTACTGTTACCTGTAGGACACCCTCCATATAAGGGTTTACTGTTGCCTGTAGGATAACCTCCATATATTATAAGGGTTTACTGTTACCTTTAGGACACCCTCCATATAAGGGTTTACTGTTACCTTTAGGACACCCTCCATATAAGGGTTTACTGTTACCTGTAGGACACCCTGCATATAAGGGTTTACTGTTACCTGTAGGACACCCTCCATATAAGGGTTTACTGTTACCTGTAGGACAACCACCATATAAGGGTTTACTGTTGCCTGTAGGATAACCTCCATATAAGGGTTTACTGTTACCTTTAGGACACCCTCCATATAAGGGTTTACTGTTACCTGTAGGACAACCACCATATAAGGGTTTACTGTTGCCTGTAGGATAACCTCCATATAAGGGTTTACTGTTACCTTTAGGACACCCTCCATATAAGGGTTTACTGTTACCTGTAGGACAACCACCATATAAGGGTTTACTGTTACCTTTAGGACACCCTCCATATAAGGGTTTACTGTTACCTTTAGGACACCCTCCATATAAGGGTTTACTGTTACCTGTAGGACACCCTCCATATAAGGGTTTACTGTTACCTTTAGGACAACCACCATATAAGGGTTTACTGTTGCCTGTAGGATAACCACCATATAAGGGTTTACTGTTACCTTTAGGACACCCTCCATATAAGGGTTTACTGTTACCTTTAGGACACCCTCCATATAAGGGTTTACTGTTACCTGTAGGACACCCTCCATATAAGGGTTTACTGTTACCTTTAGGACACCCTCCATATAAGGGTTTACTGTTACCTGTAGGACAACCACCATATAAGGGTTTACTGTTACCTTTAGGACACCCTCCATATAAGGGTTTACTGTTACCTTTAGGACACCCTCCATATAAGGGTTTACTGTTACCTGTAGGACACCCTCCATATAAGGGTTAACTGTTACCTTTAGGACACCCTCCATATAAGGGTTTATTGTTACCTGTAGGACACCCTGCATATAAGGGTTTGGTTTCAAAGTAACATATAAGTTAACGAGTTGAGTTTTACGCCGCACTCAGCAATATTCCAGCTATTTGGCGGCGGTTAGTAAATAATCGAGTCTGGACCAGACAATCCAGTGATCAACAGCATGAGCATCGATCTGCGCAATTGGGTACCGATGACATGTGTCAAGCAAGTCAGCAAGCCTCACCACCCAATCCCTTTAATCGCCTCTTACGACAAGCATAGTTGCCTTTTTGTGGCAAGCATGGGTTGCTGAATACCTATTCTACCCCAGATCTTCACGAGTAACATATAAGTGACTATAACCCTACATGTTACGTTTTGTTAGCGGACTTTGATAATGAAGAGAATGTATGAGCTTCATGAGGTAGACGTATCACTGCAGTGTAAATCCTAGCATGTTATTGTAATACAGCAGTGCACATGTTGCAATCATGTTCTGCGATATTGTGCTATCATTTCAATGTTCAGTTATGCATTTCATTTCATGTAATTTGCGATACAACTTTGTATTGGTCCCACCATACTCCATCTGTCATTCACTACAATGAAACTGATTGTCAAGGCAACAGAATATTTCACGTTTTTGTTTTTTTCTATGTTGTATATTTCAAATATCCATCTTGTATGATGTTCCTGTTTGGCATGCATTACATTTATATATCTAATATATCGCTCCATCTTATATGTGGGGGGTTGGGTAGCCTAGCAGTTAAAGCGTTTGCTCGTCACGCCAAAATTCCGGGTTCGATTCTCCCTCACTCCATGTTATGTTACATGTTTCAGATATCCCCCGGTCCATGCTACGCCTATTGAAGAACTCTGTGTATATAGTTGTGTGTCTGGGAATTTGTTGTGAAATCTCTATTGTGAGTGGATTTGTCGTCTTTCTTCCAAAATACATCGAGACCCAATTTGGTACTTCTACATCCGTCGCTAACTTATTTACAGGTGAGTCATATTCACATTAATCAAACAGGCCATCATGTCGTATCATATACATGTACTATTAACATAAGATCCAATTCCAAGCTTTGTTTCCTTATAGTTATTCCCGCTCTTTGATGGGCCCACGTGTTATCAACCTGTATACCTGTGTTACTTTGGCCATTCCTCTCATATTCAACTGTTTTTCAATACAAATTAGGATGTAACAAAGGCACGGCTCAAAGCTGGGTTAGACCCAATTCACTCTCACTCAATGCATCCTCAGTTACTAATTGTTCAAGTACATTTGTGGAGGGACATGGGTAACCTTGAGATGAAGTGTTAGTTTCAGTTAGGAGAGATGAGTTTGATAAAGTTACCACACATCGATATAGTATATGAATCCAGTATTTTCTATTCCCAGCCTTTGTTCCGAAAAGTGTTATGGAACAACAATCAGTCACAGTATATGTAAAATGTGCCCTGCTTCAGGTGGTATCGGTATTCCCGGTGCCGTCGTTGGAATCCTGATTGGCGGCTATCTCATCAAGCGATTACAGTTGCAGCCTAAAGGTATGTGGCCTATAGTAGGGACATGGTACATGAATTGTAGACGACATAAAGCTCTGGTAACGTTGTCCAGTTACCTTCATGAGAGTCGACTTATGACTGGGTGTCGAGACATCATCAGATTTTCTTGTAACCACTTCCAGAATCGTAGATGACATAAAGGTCTGCTAATGTTGTCCAGTTACCTTCATGAGAGTCGACTTATGAGTGCGTACCAAGACTTCATCAGATTTTCTTGTAACCACTTCCTAAATCGTGATGACATAAATGTCTGGTAACTTTGTCCAGTTACCTTCATGAGAGTCGACTTATGAGTGGGTGCCGAGACTTCATCAGATTTTCTTGTAATCACTTCTTGAATCGTGATGACATAAATGTCTGGTAACTTTGTCCAGTTACCTTCATGAGAGTCGACTTATGAGTGGGTGTCGAGACTTCATCAGATTTGCTTGTAACCACTTCCTGAATCATAGATGACATAAAGCTCTTGTTTTGTCAACTGTATATCAAATCACACTATAAATGTCAATATGTCATTAAACATGCAATATTGCCATGTAAACAATTACACATTAATTCCATGTCAACAGACACACAATATTTTCATGTCAATGAACACATCTCATCTGTCAGCAAACACACCTCATATCAATTTCAGCAGACACACGTTATTTCCTCATCAACTGTCTACATAATGTCCAAATAATCATTGGATCCCCATGTCAATCACTATGCAGTATTTCCACATCATTGGGCTTACCTCTTCTTGGTATCAACACACATTAGTTCCATGTCAACAAACTTACCTCATCTCCATGCCAACAAACTTACCTCATCTCCATGCCAACAAACTTACCTCATCACCATGTCAACAAACTTACCTCATCTCCATGTCAACAAACTAACCTCATCTCCATGTCAACAAACTAACCTCATCTCCATGTCAACAAACTTACCTCATCTCCATGACAACAAACTTACCTCATCTCCATGACAACAAACTTACCTCATCTCCATGTCAACAAACTTACCCCATCTCCATGTCAACAAACTTACCTTATCTCCATGTCAACAAACTTACCTCATCTCCATGCCATGTCAACAAACTTACCTCATCTCCATGTCAACAAACTTACCTCATCACCATGTCAACAAACTTACCTCATCACCATGTCAACAGACTTACCTCATCACCATGTCAACAAACTTTCCTCATCTCCATGACAACAAACTTACCTCATCACCATGTCAACAAACTTACCTCATCTCCATGGCAACAAACATACCTCATCTTGATATTTCGATGTCATCAAGCAAACATTTTGATATCAACGGACAGTCTATTTCCATGTCAATGGACACCTTATTGTCACATCATGAACACATGTCATCAACACGTCATTGAACACATGTGTTTAGTTCCATGAACATGCAAAATATAGCAAAAACACTATGTCCACGTCTGTTATTGTAGCTATCTTCAGGTCAAGAAACCCACTTGTTTTCAATGTCACCTGATCTCAGGGCTTATCCTGGACATCAGTATGTCCAGGTGATTTGAGGTAAGAGTTTACAAGGGGCGGTGGGGTAGCCTAGTGGTTAAAGCGTTCGCTCGTCACGCCGAAGACCCGGGTTCGATCCCACATGGGTACAATGTGTGCAGCCCATTTCTGGTGTCCCCCACTGTGATATTGCTGGAATATTGCTAAAAGCGGCGTAAAACCATACTCACTCACTAAGAGTTTACATAGGTACATTACGTCAGAGTTTAAAGATTGAGGAATAAATTACCCAAATTGTTACAGTGAAGCTAGAGACTATCAAAACTAGTTGCATGAACATAAGATTCCGTACACTAAGTTGGGCAATGTAGACTTAGTTACAGATGATTACTTCCTGATTGTAGCTAATAGCTCCTCGTACTGTGAGTATTATGTGTCAAAACTGGTCCAGATGTGTTCATTGTTTCCTCGGCACTGGACAAGACAATCCAGTGATCAGTACAATGTATATGAGTCATGATCCACACTGTCAGTGTAAGATGACATGCTAAATCACCAAGTCTGATTGATTTGGATTGCTGGGTACCAATATTGTCCAGGAGTCATCTTGCAGCACCTCGTCTGTGTTAAGTTGACGGACAATAACTCCCTTACCTTTGAAGACCAGATGACCTGGATTAAGTTCCAGGTTTGCTTAAACGTATCCATGGCTTCACTAAAGTTGTGAAAGTCTGCAACATGCATCATTTTTTTCTTTCTTCACCCATTATGATGACATGTAGTGATATAACAGAAATACTTTTTATTGTGGTGTAAAAACCCACTCTCTCCAGATGAAAGAACATAGGTATATTTGTTTTCCCAGGTCCGCTATTTAGCTTAACAAGAAGTCAAAAATAGAACTCTTCCTCCTTAGATCCAACTGTCCCAGAGACAAGTGTGTTGTTTAATTAGTCTGCTGCGACCTTGACCCCATTGCAGTAAGCTGTTTGTCTGAGAGCAGCATGTACCATCAGCCTCTTAGGCTGTTGACCTCCAGGAATCCAGAGACACTGCTCACTACAAGTAATGAAGTCGTTCTTTCCTCTACACTCAAAAGCCTAATGGGAACAAGTATTTTTACCAGCCAGTGTAGTCAGTATCCTATTACAGCCTGATTATTCAGGTGTATTCACTGTAGGTGTTACCCTTCACTGCTTCTTATTGCTGCCATTAAGTGAAAATAGAAGTGTCTTCAGGTCCAATTGGCCAGAATTTTAGGACTTTACGAGCTTGTATTGTAGATGTGGATGTGACTATGTATAAATACTTCATGATTGCTGCTATACATTGGGTCCCAGGTTATATCTATTTATGCAAATATATATAATATAAACTGTGATATATTGTGTATCATTTTATCACTATACAACCACTGCACTACAATATATTACCCTGCAGTCACTGTGTATATCAATATATCACATAACCACTGCACTATAATATATTACCCTGCAGTCACTTTGTATATCAATATATCACATAACCACTGCACTAGAATATATTACCCTACAGTCACTGTGTATATCAATATATCACATAACCACTGCACTACAATATATTACCATGCAGTCACTGTGTATATCAATATATCACATTAAAACTACTGCACTACAATATATTACCCTACACTGACGGTGTATATCAATATATCACATAACCACTGCACTAGAATATATTACCCTACAGTGACTGTATATCAATATATCACATAACCACTGCACTACAATATATTACCCTACAGTGATGGTGTATATCAATATATCACACCACTGCACTACAATATATTACCCTACAGTGACTGTGTATATCAATTTATTACCCACGTGGTCAACGTATGGGTAGTTTCATATTAATCTTGTACGTCACACGAGTGTCGTATCGCGTTGACCTGTGTCGTAACGACTTTACCTGAAATTCTAACGATTTGATTGGATAACCGATGACCTCTCAATTAGGTCACATTCTGACGTAACTATTTTTCATTCATAACAAACACGTGAATTCATTCATTCTACAACTTAAATGCATTGTGGGAATGTAAACATTGCGAACGTTGCCGTGTCGCTGTTTAATTGTGAGTCGAACTGAGACATTATATCTGTCGAAAAATATAAACGCAATGTTTCCACCAGTGATGTTAGCGAATGAAGCAACTGCAAACCAAGAAACGACGTGCAACGGAGTAGTTTACTGTAGGAGGCTGTACGGCTGCGATGACAACTGACATGCATCGCGGATCGCCGGTTACCATGGCAGTGACGTCATTAGTGTGGACGCCATGCAAATATTTTACTACAGTACAAAACTCTGCGGCAACCTCTTTATGAAACCGGTTTTTGGTTTGAAACCAAAACATAACAAAAATACGCTATTTTGTCAATTTAAATGCATGTAAGACGTGGGTAATAAATAAAATACCACACTTTCGGTCTCATTACATACGAATTATCACGAACTGGTGATCTTCCTATAAAGTTATCTGACCTCGCTTTCGCTCGGTCAGATACCATAGGAAGGACACTCGTTTCGTATAATTCGTATGTAATGAGACCTCGTGTAGTATTCTCTATATATCACATAACCACTGCACTACAATATATTACCCTACAGTGACGGTGTATATCAATATATCACATAACCACTGCACTACAATATATTACCCTACAGTGACGGTGTATATCAATATATCACATAACCACTGCACTACAATATATTACCCTACAGTGATGGTGTATATCAATATATCACATAACCACTGCACTACAATATATTACCCTACAGTCACTGTGTATATCAATATATCACATAACCACTGCGCTACAATATATTACCCTACAGTCACTGTGTATATCAATATATCACAATACAACCACTACACTACAATATATTACCCTACAGTCACTGTGTATATCAATATATCACATAACCACTGCACTAGAATATATTACCCTGCAGTCACTGTGTATATCAATATATCACATAACCACTGCGCTACAATATATTACCCTACAGTCACTGTGTATATCAATATATCACAATACAACCACTACACTACAATATATTACCCTACAGTCACTGTGTATATCAATATATCACATAACCACTGCACTACAATATATTACCCTGCAGTCACTGTGTATATCAATATATCACATAACCACTGCACTACAATATATTACCCTACAGTCACTGTGTATATCAATATATCACATAACCACTGCACTACAATATATTACCCTACAGTCACTGTGTATATCAATATATCACATTACCACTGCACTACAATATATTACCCTGCAGTCACTGTGTATATCAATATATCACATAACCACTGCGCTACAATATATTACCCTACAGTCACTGTGTATATCAATATATCACAATACAACCACTACACTACAATATATTACCCTACAGTCACTGTGTATATCAATATATCACATAACCACTATGTATAATAATATCTTACAAAACAGCCACTGTGTAACATGTTATCACAATACACTTTCAACTGCAATGGCTAAGCATAGCATGCTTTCAATGTTGAAAGGTTTGTACAAAGCAGTATCTGAGAGCAGGAGCAGTTATGACCTTATTCATGACATTGAAATCCAATATTCAGTTTACCCTGCAAATACATGTATCCAATTTTCTTCATTTTCTAAAAATCAGCATATCTATATTTGCTTGATACTGATTGCCAGGTTGTTGAGTCTCAAGGCTGTTTAAACATTCATAACTCTCAATGAATTGGTCAGTATTGCACAGCACATTTTACAACCACCCTCAGCAGTATTGATCTTGGAGAAACTCTATGACGATGGATTATTAGCAGGCACACTTTATTATATTAGAAAATAGGAATCGAAAAAATTGATCAGTTTCATTTATATGTGGTTATTGGGTCATTTTGGATGAAAACAAATCAAGGTATAATGAAAAAATGCAGCAAAATAAATTCTGTATTTTACGGATTATCTAACAAGTCAAGATATAGAATGCAATGCTATGACAATGAAGCTAAGTTCATGGCATAACAGGTTTTAATGAATTATACCCCACTTCCGGTCTCGTTGCCATGGTTTCCTTTGTTAAAAGTGTAGGTGTATTGACCGGTATTAATTTTCAAAAGTGTAGGTGTATCAATGATACACCTACACTTTTCACTAGGGTATACAATAAAGACACAACAAACGGCTAAATATAATTTTATTTCAATGGACTCACACTGAGATTTCGATTGTTTCAAAATCTTCCTTATCATCCAGGTCGAAATGTGACGCTAACGAACTGTCATATTGAGAAAGAAAATCCTCTGTCCACTCTTCAGCATCCATGGCTTAACTAACGCGGTGATCTTCCAAATGTTTTCTATGCCACATGCGAAGTCAGAGAACGATGCGCATTGGTCTGCTCATACACATGTCAATTATCAGTAATATTGCGCTGCATTTAGGGCTACTTGAAGTCATTCTCACCGAACTGGTGTTTAAAATCGTGGAAATCGTGCAAGCCCGTGCATGCCCGTGCAATCGACTGCTTATAGTCTGTTTGCAGCTTAAAACGCATCGATGAATATCACTTTAAAAATGTAAATCAAATAAAGTGAAACTAAGATTGCAAATTCCCATAATTTTACCTTGCCTATTGAACATTTAAATCTCAGAATTATATTCAGCTTAGGATAAAAGTTGTTTAACAAACGATCATAGTTTCAAAGCTGTTATTGGTTTGTATTACAATGGGGTATGCGCATTAAATGAAACACCCAGAACATGCAGGTTTGGTAGAAGTTAACGCTTGTTACGCATCGCACGGGCATTTCTTTCACTGTTCCAACTACTGCGCTTTACCCCTAAAATTGTAATACAAACCAATAATATTGATTTGAAACTATGATCATTTGTTAAACAAATTTTATTCTAAGTTGAATATAATTCTGAGATGTTCATTTGGCAAGGTCAAATTATGAGATTCGCAATCTTAATTTCACTTATTTGAGTACTTTTTGTTTAAAGTGAAATTGATCGGTAGGTTTCACTGCAAACAGACTATAGACGCTGGACATTTGAGGGTCTTAACCAGTGGGCTAAAAATAAATGAAACAGATGGAAAAGAAATAAAAAAATTGTCATAATTAGAACATAAAGTGTTATAATAAACTCGTGAATCTCCGACCAGAAGTGAGGTATAAGTCAGATGTACCCACACTTTCGTAAGTGTAAGCTTAATACTTACTGTTTGAGTCGTGTGGTCTCCTCGGCTAACGCCGGAGGCCACACAACTCAAACAGTAGGGTATTGAGCGGCACACCTCGGAAAGTGTGGGTATATCTAATACTTACATTATGGAAAAACTAGTGTTTGACCTGAAAGACCTGCAATAGGGTTGAGCTGACCTGAATGACCTACAGTGGTGTACAACTGACCTGAAAGACCTAAAATAGGGTTGAGCTGACCTGAATGACCTACAATGGTGTACAACTGACCTGAATGACCTACAGTGATGTACAGGAGACCTGAATGGCCTACAGTGATGTACAGGAGACCTGAATGACCTACAGTGGTGTACAACTGACCTGAATGACCTACAGTGGTGTACAGCAGACCTGAATGACCTACAGTGGTGTACAACTGACCTGAATGACCTACAGTGGTGTACAACCTGACCTGGTGTACATGACCTGAATGACCTACAGTGGTGTACAGCAGACCTGAATGATCTACAGTGATGTACAACTGACCTGAATGACCTACAGTTGTGTACAACTGACCTGAATGACCTACAGTGGTGTACAACTGACCTAAATGACCTACAGTGATGTACAGCAGACCTGAATGACCTACAGTGATGTACAGCAGACCTGAATGACCTACAGTGATGTACAACTGACCTGAATGACCTACAGTGGTGTACAACTGACCTGAATGACCTACAGTGGTGTACAACTGACCTGAATGACCTACAGTGGTGTACAGCTGACCTGAATGACCTACAGTGGCGTACAACTGACCTGAATGACCTACAGTGGTGTACAACTGAACTGAATGACCTACAGTGGTGTACAACTGACCTGAATGACCTACAGTGGTGTACAACTGACCTGAATGACCTACAGTGGTGTACAACTGACCTGAATGACCTACAGTGGTGTACAACTGACCTGAATGACCTACAGTGGTGTACAACTGACCTGAATGACCTACAGTGGTGTACAACTGACCTGAATGACCTACAGTGGTGTACAACTGACCTGAATGACCTACAGTGGTGTACAACTGACCTGAATGACCTACAGTGGTGTACAACTGACCTGAATGACCTACAGTGGTGTACAACTGACCTGAATGACCTACAGTGATGTACAACTGACCTGAATGACCTACAGTGGTGTACAACTGACCTGAATGACCTACAGTGGTGTACAACTGACCTGAATGACCTACAGTGATGTACAACTGACCTGAATGACCTACAGTGGTGTACAACTGACCTGAATGACCTACAGTGGTGTACAACTGACCTGAATGACCTACAGTGGTGTACAACTGACCTGAATGACCTACAGTGGTGTACAACTGACCTGAATGACCTACAGTGGTGTACAACTGACCTGAATGACCTACAGTGATGTACAACTGACCTGAATGACCTACAGTGGTGTACAACTGACCTGAATGACCTACAGTGGTGTACAACTGACCTGAATGACCTACAGTGGTGTACAACTGACCTGAATGACCTACAATGGTGTACAACTGACCTTAATGACCTACAGTGGTGTATAGCAGACCTACAGTGTTTCTTTCCCTTGCAGGTGCCATCCAGTTGACCTTGGTGCTGAATGGTCTAGCTCTCTGTGGCTTCACATTCTTCTTCTTCCTCGGCTGTGACAATCGCAAAATAGCAGGAGCCACTTTCCCATACTTCAACAGGTAGGTGCAGTGAGGTCAGGTACAGGCACGCTAGGTTGTTCAATGAAGGCAGTCTAGAGACCAGCCAACTGACAGCTGAGGGTCAGAGTAGGTCATGTCTCCTTAATTTATCATACATACCAAATAATTATTTTTTTAAAAACTTAAGTTATTTTGTAATTTAGCAGTTCTGAGCATAGAATTGATGATACCTGTAAATTTCATGTAAGTTTCAATTGAATGTGTTAATGTGAAGTTTCAGATTTGAAAATTGTAGATTTTGAATTTAAGCTTGAAATTTTAAAACTGAAAATACATAATTATATCTCCACTCAACCTTGCCCATGGTCCCTAGTATGGTGATCTACCTTCAGTTGTTGGCAATCTATAGCCAGGTTTTATATTGTATTGTCAACTATAGTTAAACTGTTTTAGATTTACTTACTAGTTTTAAATTATTCTCTGTGATAATCTAGTTATTTTACTGTCCTTCGTAGGCAGGCTTTTATAATTTAATATTACTTACTATGTGTACCAATTAATTGTTCTCGTCACGATATGGCTGAAATATTGCCGATGTGACGATAAATTTTAACTCACTCACTCACTCTCTCAACCTTGACAGAATTACCAAGAGACAGCAAACCCGTGTATGAGCCTAGTATTTTCAGTAGGTTGAAAGGGCAAACTTTATGAAAGGATTGCTGGAGATTTCAGTCTACATATATCACTAAACCGCTTCAACAAGACACAATGAAGTCATGTAGGTAGTTGTCCTGTAAACATTATTCATCCTAAGGGAAAGGTGAATCAGACTTACTAATGTTTTGATCAAATTACATGCCACTGTTGTTTGTGTGAAGATTCTACAGATTGGAAGTATAAGCGTTAACACAGTAGAAATGGCACCACAGTGATAGAGTAGCGCCATGTCAACTGATGTTACAAAGTTTTGCATTACACTTTCCCAAAATGTTTGGTTCTTCAAACTTTCCATGTGAAATATATTGTCACTCTCACTGTAAATAATGTTTTGAAATCCAATGTTTGGAATTGTCAGGTGTGCAGGTTTGTGAAAGATGTGCATCAGAATACTATTTTCCTTTATGTTGAAGTAGTCAGCGACAAAATCATGGTCCAACAGATTTAATACATGTGGATGATCAATCTGAATTCATTAGTTGAAAATGTCAAGGTAGAACTACCTTGTACCCTGTCATGGTCTCTGACCAGGGTGAACAGGTGGCGCACACAGTATTATTTGTGTCATTCTTGCCTGACACCAGGGGATGCTACTGCTCTGTTTATCACACTATTGTACAGGTTTTACCTTGACTTACACCAGTGGGGGCCCAGGGGACCACAATCATTTTACAGGTGCTTGCTGGTACTATGAGGGTCCTGTGAAGTATTGACATGGTGCAGTCTACTGTACGTTCAGATAAATACTACAGACCCTGGGATGAATCAGTGATCATGTTGACAGTGGTCTTGACTGATGGGTGAAATAACAGACACTCATAGCTACACTTGTTGCGCTGAAGGTACATTCTCAGTATCTTTGTGCATCTCTCCAGACGGGATATTTTGGATTTTCTGCATCCATTTTCCACATTTGTGCGTCACATAAAACCCTGACTGTTGAATAAATAGTACATTTGTTAAATATTGTCTTTCCTGAATAGCACTGGGCACAAGATCTTTGAGGCGAACCTGACGTCGTCCTGTAACCAGAACTGTGACTGCTCTCCGAACCACCTGGAACCAATCTGTGGCATCAACGGCATCACCTACTTCTCCCCTTGCCACGCAGGATGCACTGGCTCTAACCGCTTCTACAACCAAGACAACCAGTATGAGAGAATGTTTGTAAGTGGTGATTTGTCCTTGGCACCAGTTGAGTCTCTGGTAAAGTTAATAGTTCATGTTTTCATGTTTAGTAGCAGTTTCAGCCATTATCTCTAAAACAGTTGTACTGTTGTGAGAACTTGTATCTTTTATTGAATGCAGTAAAAATATTTGTTGCATATGTTTTAGCTTACTTTGGGAAACATTGTCAATTTGTGATTTCAAGTTTTGTTTAACATCAAGTGTTAGCTGAGTGGGTAATGCTGTTTCCAGAACTACAGTGGTTGTTCCTGTATCATGGACCAAGACCATGTACAGTTTGACCACGAGGTCATCATGTCGCCCCTGGCAACCAGTGGGCCGTGCAAGAACACATGCGAGAAGATACTGCCGTTCCTCATCCTTCTTGTTGTCATGACGTTCTGCGTGTCTGGGACGCAGATGCCATTGCTGATGGTGACATTAAGGTGAGGGTCACTCACTGGTTATGTCAAGGTCATTTAACTTTGATTTGACTTTAAAATGTGGTCTCTGCTTTTAGGTTGTCAAGTTTTATTTTGCAGATGACGTTTACTTTTACATTTGATAAAATGTTGTTGAAAAAGATGCCTGTGAAAAATCTGAATTCAGTTAAACTTGGTCATAGATTTGTATATACTGCAGACAATATAGAGTGTGTAAAGACAAGAAGAATATTAAATGTCGAACACCAATGTTTTCTTGGTGATTGGATTTTCATTATCTGTCCAGTGATAACAGTAACAACGTTTGCTTGATTGAGACAGAACTAACTTTGTTCCATGTTGCTGTATTTCTGAGGGGCGGTGGGGTAGCCTAGTGGTTAAAGCGTTGGCTCGTCACGCCAAAGACCCGGGTTCGAATCCCCACATGGGTACATTGTGTGAAGCCCATTTCTGGTGTCCCCTGCCGTGATGTTGCTGGAATATTGTTAAAAGTGCGTAAAACCAAACTCACTCACTCACTCACTATATTTCTGAAGGTCTGTTGGAGAAGAAGAAAGAGCGTTTGCCCTCGGAATGCAGTTTGTTATCATGAGACTGTTTGGTAAGTGGTAAAGAACAACAGTTCCGGTCGGGACTAATATAGTGGTGGGAGAACTCAGACATCATATAAGGATGTAGTGTATAATGTACAATTCTGACAGAAAACATTATGTAACTGTTTAGATATTCTTAGATGCTACTGTAGTACCAGCTTGGCAGAAGTTTGTCTCATGATCAATTTCAAATTGAAATGATTTACACACATTGCGTTGCAATTTTGGTATTCTGTGAACTTGTGAGGTTGAATTTTCTGAAAGTTGAAAAAGGATGAATATTTTTAAATTTTTACCCAATGTGCATGGAAAAACATTTAAAGGGAGGCCTATCTTGATAAGTGACACACTGATATGTGTGTAGCCAGTACTCCTTGTTGGCAGACAGAGAAACTGTCCATCATATGTCTACCTGTAATCATGCATGTATCTGTAAAACTGATAGGTATTCATGAAACTTTGAACACACAGAAAATATGTCAACTGGTCCTTTGTGCTGATAGGGCTTTCAATATTTCAAATTTTTTCCGGGCAACAAGTTTGACTTTGACTCTGTTTATGGTGGTGTGTTTCTTGGGACCACATCTTCATAACTAATTGTTCACCCTTGAGACTTTGCACAAACAAAAAAGCAGGTTGTCATCTGGTACATTGTAATTGAACTATAGAAAAGAGAATTCTCAGATAATGGCCAAAGACGTTGTCATGATTTTGCTTTTATAGAACAAAAGCTACTCTTGTATATAGACAGACAAATTAGATAGCAATACTCTCCTCAAGTTGGACAGGGAATGTTTGGAGGACTTGATTTGTTCTTTTGAATAACTGGATCAGGTGGTCAGGCCCACTGACATGGTTGATGTGTGTCATTGTATCCCATCCATGTAGATCAGTGCTCATGATGTCAGACAATGCATTGTCTCATCCAGTCTCACCATTATATAGCTGAAAAAAACAAAGTACTTTATCTGGGAAATTGAATGGTCTTTATTTCATTTTAATCCAAGCAGCAAAGTTAAATTATTGGCCAAATATTTTGTCAGCCAACTAATGAAACATAAAAGTCCTTATTTAGGGTTCGAAATACCCCATATATTAGTGTGCCATGGCACGGTAAATATTGAAATGACACGGTTAAAAGATGTTCTCTGTGCCCTTTTGACACACCTAATTTTCTGGAGTCATAGCTCACATTTAGTCATTTAATCCCCCAAACAATTATTTTTTACCAAACTGAATAATACCATATATATTTGAATGCCCATAAACCCATTTCTTTATTTAACACTAAATTTCAAATGATTATCATCATTGTTATTTATTCTAAAAACATGTGGGCATACTTGATTTTTGAAATGCACACCTAAAATATTTGTCTGGTGCCCTAAGGCACACTTAGAAAAAAAAGTATTTCTATCCCTGTTATTGATCCGTAAGTGCAGAGTTATCAATGTTATTTATGTTGTTTATTTCAGCTTATATACCTGCCCCGATCATGTTCGGTAACGCCATCGACACTGCATGTCTGCTATGGAAACAGAAATGTCGGGACTATGGGCAGTGTCTCTTGTATGACATCGTGCAGTTCAGATACAAATACGTTGGTGAGTTGTTTCACACGTTAACTTCATAGAAGGCTTACACTAAAGTACTTGCCTCTCTGTCATAACCTGACGTTTGAAGTATGTGATCAGATTGCTCTGTGTTGGTCGAAACTGTCTTCTCAAGGTGATGTGTGTTATGTGTAGGTATTGGTGCTGGGCTGAAGATCTTGGGTCTGCTCTTCTTCACGGGTGTCTGGTTCCTCCTCCGCCACAGAAGCCTTACAGAAACCCGCACAGAGTTGACGGTAAGTACACACATACAACTAGTGTTATAGCTCTGTTGACTTGTCTCCTGAAACAACAATGCCTGTGGAGCTGTAAGTTTTCATGAAGGTTTCCTCTTGTTCCTATGGTTTCTCAGAAATATGCTCTCAAACATCCAATCCAGTCTTAAGAGTCATTTTGGTCATTATTTGTCATCATCACCTTCACAGGGTTTAAATATTCTTAGGTGGGGTAGCCTAGTGGTTAAAGTGCTGGCTTGTCACGCCAAAGACCCGGGTTCGATTGCCTACATGGGTGCAATGTGTGAAGCCCATTTCTTGTGTCCCCGCCAATATATTTCTGGAATATTGCTAAAAGCGACATAAGACACTACTCACTCAATTTAAACATTCTTCCAACTGAAATTATTTTTTAATAATTCAGGTGAGCTACAGAGCTTAGAGATCTATTTTAACAAGCTGATTATCACATTACTTGTCGAGAAGACATGTGAACCTTTCTTAGGTCATCTGGTCCTTGGTTTTGCAGCATCAGAGTCACACAACGAGGACTTAGACTGATCTAGGCCATGCTCCAATAAGCACTCTTAGCGCTAAGATGATCAAAACTCCCTTATTTTATGCATACGATATATACCTAATGCCCTGATGACTTTAAAAAGTTTTGTATTTTTTAGCTACAGTGCAACATATTCCAATCCTTGAATATTTCATTTACAGAACATAACTCATGAACCTGTTTGTATTTCCCTTACTTATGAATCAAGTCAACTGCAGTGTTTCTGGAGTTTTATCTCTTATATCTTTTTTCTAATTAAACAAAACAAATAGATAATGACAGCATGGCTAACGATTGACTGTCTGCGTGGTCTTCTCACACTCTACTGAGATAGTGAAAAGTACCAGTCTGTTAGCAGCAAGAAGATTTCTGTAGTGTAACTGACAGCTGGTGTGGTTAGGGCCTTGATAAGAGGGCGGATAACAGACCAAAATAGTCCGAATCGTTCACTTTGTGATACAAGCACCAAAATTGGCATGATCACTCACCATGGGCTCCCTGTTCAGAAACTAACGTTGGCCAATCAAAAATCCAAGATGGCCACCATTTTTCAAGATGGCTACCACTGGTTATACAAAGATATAATCTTTTTCTTTTGACTATCATTTTTGGCAGATGTCATTAGAGAACATACAATTGTTGATTGATTTCATGCTTGAAGTTATGCATTCTTACATGTTTTCCCTGACTCTTGAAGTAATAGTCTCTACCTCCAGGACACATTGTCATGATTGGTCAGTTGTTCTGCAGCAGCGGCGTGGATGTTACGATGAACTTCCTGTTTCAGGTTCAAGACATCATGAGTTCTATGAGTTCTATAGACAAACTAGACTTTGATCACCGACAAAGACTGAAGGAGCCGGACAAGGCCTACCCTGACGATGCGACTGAGTCACACGACCCGGAGCCTTCTGCTTGTGATGTGATGGTACAGCGAGAGGTCTTCACCTGTTCCACCCCGAGGGAATCTGTTTTGTGATACTTGTGATCTGGGGACATCAGTCATGATGAAATGCAAAAGAATGTTGACTGTCCATATTTGCTGAACGATACGTGATAGTATAAGTCTCGTGCAGAATGACTGTTATATGTAGAAGATGTACTGTACATATGTAATACCACAATCCTCTCTTGACACGCCACCAGTGTGCTGGCACCCAGTGTATCAGTCTGAGATACAATGTTCTGAGATATGTGTTTACATTTACAGACAAAGTAAATTCTGTAAATTACCAGTCAGGTCATAATTATCAACACTGACCTTTGAAAAAAAAAAAGAGAAAAATAAGACCAATAAATTCAGGTAAAAGTACCCTGAAGTCTAGAGTACTCACAATGTAATGTTCATGTCTGACCAGGAACGGGGTTGTTGTGTGTATTGATTGGTTGGAAGGTGGAAAGTGAAGAAAAACAGCATGACAGGAGGCATTGTCATGGACGTATGCAATATTTTACTATGACACTAACTGTATGACAGAGGAAGAAATGCCTTTGAGCGCCAGTGCTTAAATGGTTCAACTTTATTAGGAAAATTATTTTATGTAAGTGTTTGTTTTTGTTCTTGTTGCAGAAAAGTTGTTTTTCTATGTATCCAAAATTATTTTGTGTTATACATTGTTTGGAAGGGCATAGGTGTCCAAGCAGTTTCAGAAGTTATAATTTACTTTATAGATTTATGGCCCTTAGGTGTACCAGGATCCGCTGATTTGCACCCATTATGATCCTAGATATATATTGTCAGCACCATTTATGTGCATATGGGATTCATCAAAGTGGTAAATATCACCTTTTATTGTTCAGTGATATTCCCAATATCACTTTACTGTTTAACATAGGTTATACTGAACATAGAGATTTTTTCTGGGTTACATCTTCTTTTTATTCTCGAGTACAACGTTTCAGGGCTTGTTCTGGCCCCATCATCAGGTAAACTGAACAGTAACTGTTAACTCTGGCCGTGACGTCACAATGCTTATGACGTCACAATGCTATGACGACGCAATACATGTGGTGGTCAATAGATACAGATGACATGGTTAACAGTTATTATAGCTAAAATACATGGAATTATCATGAAACGGCCCTCCTATTATCAGAAATTTGTGGGCCGCTGCAAATGATATTGGACCGCTCAACTTTAACGACGGGCCACTATCAGTTTTGTTGTCAAGTGACGTCATAATGGGTGCGTGGGCTTACGGTTCATTCGACATTAATTTGCTTTCGACTGGCAGATATTCTGGGTCAAACAAGTCAAAGCAACCCGAATTCCCGCTTTAAATAGCGGTAATATTGGCTTTCTTGTTGGTGCTAACCTTAACAATTGCACTATTAAGGCTGTTGATGGACCAAAACCGAACACTGACATAGTTTGACATGTTGGTCGAATATCGTCACTTTCTGTTGTGACGTCACTTGAATTGTTCGATGACGTAATTGAATTCGGGCAGTCAACCCCGTCAGAAGTTGATTTGGGTAAACTTACAGTCAAATTCCTTCATTGTTTCCTTTTTCTTTTCAACACAAATTCCATGTATTTTAGCAATAATAACGGTAATGCTATTTTTGAAGGCATTATCATTTGCAGAAGCCCTCGGTCTTTTTCAACTGCCCTCCTTCGTCGGGCAGTTAATGGAAGACCGTGGGCTTCTGCAAATGATAATGCCCTCAAAAATAGCATTACCCTTATACTGTTCAGTTTACCTGATGATGGGGCCAGAACAAGCCCTGAAACGTTGTACTCGAGAATAAAAAGAAGATGTAACCCAGAAAAAATCTCTATGTTCATCAAATATCATCTTCTAAAATGCCAATCAAGCATCTAATAGGTTATACTGTTGACCAATCAACTGGCTTTGAACATATCATCAAAGGTACAGATGCTTTCATCATGTATTGACCATATCAACCAACTTTCAGATACATTTTATCAAGTATTGTCGTCAAACTGACCAATCAAATATTTGATCACATAAGCTGAGGTACATATACTTTTCATCAAGTATTATGATCAAACTGTTCATCCATGATAAACTATTATCCACTGAAATGTATCTAAATTTCGTGGAAGATATGTATTAAGTAAAAGTTCCCAGTTCTTTCATCTCACTATAGTTTACATCTCATGCCATGGCAGATCAACTATAGTAATGTAAAAGAATCAACTGATCCTTGTTTTGGTATGTATTTAATTATAACTGATCTTATCAAGTTTGCAGTTAAAGAACCAGTTATTGAGGTGTATGTTGTATAAAAACCTGCACAATGTGAAGACTGTATGAAATCATAAAGTGTTTTTTGCTGTTAGCTTTCAATTGGTAAAGAGCCTCTATGATACACGGTACATTTGATTTGCTGAACGGGTTCACTGTGTGTTCTCACTCGTGTCCTCAAGACTGAAAGCCTTGATATTTGATATTGCTGAATCCCAGGGATTATACATGCTGGATGCATTACATTAGCCCGAGGCAAGGTCTGACCGACTGACTGAGTTTAGTTTTACGCCGCTTTTAGCAATATCCCAGCAATATCACGGCGGGGGACACCAGAAATGGGCTTCACACATTGTGCCCAAGTGGGGAATCGAACCCGTGTCTTCGGCAGGACGAGCGAACGCTTTAACCACTAGGCTACCCCGACGCCCCCCGAGTCAAGGAAGTTAACTGACTGTAAAGATTGTTTCCAACCCTGTCACACTAGGCATGAATTTCATTTCTTTTCGTGGTACCACTGACTGGTATGAGTTATGTCCCTTCTTTGGTCCTATCTACCAATAGGATTCCACCTGTCATATGACTTGCATTTGCTACAATAGAATGGAGGAGAACAGTCGCGATTATTTTGTAGACAATGAAGACCTTTATTGTAACAATACAGGACTTACCTCACAAAGTGCATCATCAACTTGATTAACAAAGAAAACAGGAAATTATAAAAAAAAGGGGTGGTTCACATGCATTGGAAATCCTGTAATCGACCAAAATATGCACTGCAGTTACCATAATGTGTATGAACTGGATGTCGATTTTGTTTAGCAAATTTAATTGGGCTGTGGATATAATTACAGTCCAGCAAAAATGTAACTTCATAAGTCCAGCCAAAATGTAACTTCATAATTCCAGCCTAGTTCTCCAAGGTTGGACAGTGGACTTTCATAGTGAGTTATCTGCCTTGCCTCAGGAACACGGTAGCTTCAATGTGTTTGAGATACAATATTGTACTTCTTTTCACAAAACCCATGTCACGAGAGATATATTTAACTTGTTCGTTTAATAGTTTGAAATGTAGTTTTATGTTCTGATGTTGTTTCTACAGGACACTTATCAGTGATGGGTATTGAAACTGTTACCATGGTTACTATACTTCCTATGGTGTATTTGTTTTTATGTACAGCACCGTTTGTTTTATGTATTTTATATATTTTGTTAATCAGTTGTCCAGAGATATTACACTTCATACTATTACCTCACTAACGCTGGGCCATATCATTTCTTTTTAAATGGGAATATGCACTTTGAACATGTGTGTGTCCTATTTTGTGTGTATTTTGTAAATGTTCTATTTCAAAATATCCTTAGGAAAGTAATACATCAAACCTGATTTTCAAAAATGACATTATTTTGCCACCCGATTGTTGGCGTATTGACCAAGAACATCAGCTTGGCCTGGCCGAAGTATTTAAGCTCAGTCTGTTATATGTTATTATGGCACTATTGCACTCATTGTTTTTTCATAACATGTTATGTGGGGACCATTCTGATATTATTGCATTAGTAGTTCTCCTTGTTTCAAGCATTCTATCCTACTCAAAGTAAGTTGCAGAACACCCCAATCTTTTCATTACTATGGTTCATCCGGGGCGGTGGGGTTCGCCCGTCACGCTGAAGGTCTGGGTTCAATTCCTCACATGGGTACAATGTGTGAAGCCCATTTCTGGTGTCCCCCGCCGTGATGTTGCTGGAATATTGCTAAAAGCGGCGTAAAACCATATTCACTCACTCACTCACTATGGTTCATCTGTCATGACAACTATAGTGGAGAGTCAGGTGTTCTCTAATTTCTTTTGGGCAGTATATAATCAGTTGACATCGAAATTCACCAAGGGCAGATGTGGAGAGTGATTTCTCTGGCAGGTTTGGAAGGAGAAATGGTGTTATGTTTTTATCAGTTCTCACTATATTCTGCCTCACACTTGTCCATCCAGCACTATTTTCTGTATAGAGCAAATCAGGAGACTGGCACTATCTCAGAGTTTTATTTTACTGGTTGTAAATGGCTGTCGTTGTAGTAGGATAGACATTTAACATGAAGCTATAAGGAGTGATTGTACGTCTTTGAATGGCCTTTTGTATGGTGATGTCACCTATGTATATTAGGACATCCCCATGATGGATGGGAACGTTGCCTTTGTGGATGGTGACAGCATCTTTGTATATAGGTAAGGCATTTTTCTACCTTGAGAGTCCCACTACTAAAGGAAGATGTCTTTGTATAGGTTTGTCTTGGTATTTGGAGAGAGTCCTTTTGTACATGGGAAGGTTAGGTGTAACTTGGCCTCTCTGGGCACTAGGAATGGTCCTTGGTACTGTTTCTTGATTACTATTTCTTCATGAATAGTTTGACTGACCTTGACCACTCGTGATGAACATAAGCTGTACAGCTGTAGGACCTGTTTTGAAGGCAGCTCACCAAGTACCTTACTTCACTTCTCAGGCTACTGACAATTTGCATGCAGGTATATGTTAATGTCATTTGTGGAGATATTTGAACTTCAGTGGAGCACATTGTGGAAACAGGGGACTTGAGACACTCCTTCATGTTGTGAAGCTGCACGAACACCTCATAAAGGAGGGCTTGTTTGGTAAGATGGCAGTACTCTGTCATGATTCAGTGGAGCACAGTGTGGAAACAGGGGACTTGAGACACTCCTTCATGTTGTGAAGCTGCACGAACACCTCATAAAGGAGGGCTTGTTTGGTAAGATGGCAGTACTCTGTCATGATTCAGTGGAGCACAGTGTGGAAACAGGGGACTTGAGACACTCCTTCATGTTGTGAAGCTGCACGAACACCTCATAAAGGAGGGCTTGTTTGGTAAGATGGCAGTACTCTGTCATGATTCAGTGGAGCACAGTGTGGAAACAGGGGACTTGAGACACTCCTTCATGTTGTGAAGCTGCACGAACACCTCATAAAGGAGGGCTTGTTTGGTAAGATGGCAGTACTCTGTCATGATTCAGTGGAGCACAGTGTGGAAACAGGGGACTTGAGACACTCCTTCATGTTGTGAAGCTGCAGGAACACCTCATAAAGGAGGGCTTGTTTTGTAAGATGGCAGTACTCTGTCATGATTCAGTGGAGTAGTGAGCATTTCATGTGTTCCGTTCCATCGACTGACACAGTACCTCGTGTCCACGCTGTGATGTTTCTAATATAAATTTAAAAAGACGTTAAAGAAGCCCCAAAGTTGTCACGACTATAATTAATCTGTCGTGACTGGTGGGTGTTGTAAAACATATCCTTCTAATTGTGGATGTTCTTTCAACATTTTGCCCCGCCATGATATTGCTGCAATATTGCTAAAAGCGGCGTAAAACCAAATCACTCACTCACTCTTTCAACATTTTGAGAATTTAGATTGGTGAGAGCCTCGTAACCTCAACACACTATCAATATCTGACCAAACTGGGTGTCCATGTAATGTACGGTTTGTTTTGGGCTGTGATTGGATATGGAGAGGGATGGATACAATATGCCAAACAAAATATATTTTTTGCTTGCTACATTGAAGAATGGGGTTGTCCCCATAAATGAGGGATGGATACAAATTGTTGTCAAACAAAATAATTACTTTTGTTGCAGGACATTGAAGAATGAGGTCCTCATAACTTGAAAGAATGTTTGGTTGAATGGACAGTCTCTGACCTAGACAGTGCTAAGATCTGAAACCTGTCGATGATAGTTATACAAAGTCCAAGTGTTACTGCTATGTCGCTGCCATTATCATTTTACGGCCATGGCGGATGTACACAACATGGAGTCCAGTTTGTTCAGGACAAATCACACAGGCTACGACCGCCATGCCTGGGAATGACACAGACTGTTGCCACGAGCAGGTCCTGTCCTCATACTTCCTGCCATGTATATACGTTTACCTTTGCTATGATACAGACGTGTAAATAGCTATATGAGCATTTTGGAAAGTATGAAAGAGAGACAACTCAGGTGTTGATGACTGCGAACCAACTTAGAGATGAGGAGATATTAGATCTAGGACAGGCATTTATGAAAGTGTTCTATCTTTCCAGAAATATTATCATGGACAAATGGCTGATTGTTTATTGATACAGTTTAAAAAGAAAATTGAAAATGTCCGTTTAACCGATAATATCAAGCAGTCCTGGTATATCATTTTTTGTACATATCATATGCCAATGTACGTCATTTACAATGTCAAATATCCTGCATATCCCGCCAGATATTGGAAGATATCATTATTTACTTATATATGTATTGAAGATAATTTCTATATACACACATATTTACACAACTTTATGAACGGATGTATGTTGTAGATCAGCAGTGATATTGCCGCTCTTATACTCCCATCTGTACAGGACCTGTTACTTGGTGTGCACTCTAGTCACATGGTTGGTGTACTTGTAGAGAGGGTACTCTAGCCATGATCTAGTCAAGTGGTTGGTGTACTTGTAGAGGGTGTGTACTCAGGCCATGATCTAGTCACATGGTGGATGTACTTTTAGAGGAGATGTACTCTAGCCATGATCTTTTCACATAATGGATGTACTTGTAGAGGGTGTACTCTAGTCATATGGTGGATGTACTTGTAGAGGGTGTACTCTAGTCATATGGTGGATGTACTTGTTGCCGATGGATGTGTATTCTATGTATGATTTAGACAAGATCTTGTTGGGGGAGGTGGGGGTGTGTGTATTTGTGGAGGGTGTATATGCAGCCATTATCTAGTCACATGATGGGTGTACTTGTAGAGGGTGTTGACTCTCATTATGATCTAGTCACATGGTGGGTGTACTTGTTGCGAGTTTTGTACTCTCATGATCTAGTCACATGGTGGGTGTATTTGAAGAGGGGTGTGTACTCTGGCCATGGTCTTGTCACATGGCGGATGTGCCCTTTCCAGAAAGTAAGTGTGTTTATGTTTCCTTTTCCACTGACTTCTTCAAAACATTTGGAACTGGTTCATCCCAGGTTCTGTATTTCCTTCCTTAAGGGCCGAGTCTGGGGTTAAGGTTTTAAAAACTGGGCACTAAGGTTTGAATAGATGACAATTGTTTTCCCTGGTAATTTGATTATAATGACTTTGGCAAAGCAGTATTATGGAACATTTATAATTTATGATAAGCTGGTGTGTATGCATGTGGTGATGATGATTTTTATGGAGAAGCATGTACAATGTGAATGACCCCCTCCCCCACGTAAATATATGTACAAAGTAAGTGACCCCCCCTCCTGCATGTCATCTACAAAATCAATGCCCCCTTTCCATTATTTTTAAGCACAATTTTTAAATATTTTCATGTAGATGTACATGTGTACAAAATTGAAGACCCCCCTGCCTCCCCAGAACAAAATGGGTGACCCCTCCTTAAAATCGTCATCACCCCACTAGCCATAAATTACAAGTGATCCCTTATGCATAGGCGCTTGACTCTGATATATAAACATATCAGAATCAAGCGCTTATGCCCTTATGGTCCAGTCCTAAAGTAATCAAGGTACCAAGACCTTAATGGAGGAATTATAGTACTTGGTATTCATGGACTTTGTGAAGATTTGTAACAGAATCAAATCTGTACACACGAACAGTTTTCTAGAATATTTGCACCTATTTGTTTGGGTTCTATCGATGCATCTGCTGTTGCAAGTAGTATTTACAAACATGTCCTTGTCACAATTTTAAGAATTTTCTTTATAATGGAGACTTTTTAAAAAATGTGTGACACCTTCCTCTTGACACTGTCTTAGACACTACATATTTATTTGTATACACCCTTCATATATGAACAATACAAGTATATGACACCAGCCTATTATATATATACCTCACCAATGGCATCAATATTACTCAAAAAAAGTTTAGGATCACCTGATTCTTTCATATTGCAGAAGTGAACAAAATCAAGTGATCCTTAACATATTTTGCGTAGTATATGTCTACGATATACACCATTGCACCAGTATGATCCCAACCAACTGTCCATGCTAGTCTGGACAGACGCAGTTATGTACAAGTCGGTTGTATATTTGAAATGCTGTCGGTACCAACACATGTTATGACATGTTTGATGTGTACACGGAAGCTGTAGTTAGTATCCTGTGAGGAATATGTATGTGTTTTTGCCAGTGCGTGCCTTGCCATATGTAGTCACGTGTGGATGTCTGCAGAGTAAACATGTCGTGTCTGTCACTGTAAGAGCAGTTGACTGTTAACGCTGTCAGTAAGGAGATGATGGTTCTTGTAGGAAAGTTTCAATCTCTGAAACTTAAAGCTGATGCAGTCAAGTAGCTTTGGCCGAAAGCTTTTTGAATGATATAACAATGAGTTTGTTGGATAAGTAGATTTTGTTTCCTAAATTATGTGTCAAAATATTTCATACGTTTCACAGGGACGACCCCAGAATGTCTGTTGATGCATGCAAGTATGCCATTGTATTTTGTATTTTTCTAGTTTGAGCAGGTCAGATGATGTTAGTGTTGTTTTAAAAAATTTGAAGAAGCCCTGTCACCTGTGAAATTCTAGATTTGCCCCTATATTGCCATACTGCTCTCATAAGGGACTGCAATTTTTTGTATAAGGGAGATAACTCTTCCACTCTAGAATATTATTACCTCGTAGCCACCATGTCCACTTAATAAAGTCATACCCCCGTGTTTGTAAACAGTTGTACAGTACATCTGTTTCAATATTAGGCATGGCTGTTTTTGTTCAAGGATTCTTGACATAGCGATAGATTAGAATCTGAAAAATGTGTTTTTCTGCCAAATGCAAGCTTATCACAAAAATATTGATGTGTATGATAGTTAAACATCATCAGTGAGACAGTATTTTTGGTTTACTGGTGATTCCATTTCCCCATCTGTTTACCAGGATTTTCTTTAAAACATTACCTGTAGACAGTCAACTTGCAGAAACATGGGAATTGTTAGATGTTGCAGTTGCCATGTTTCACTAATAGCACATGGCGGTTATTTTAGACATGTTAGGTTCGTAAGAAAATGATTGTAGTGAATCAACTGACAAGAAGATGTACTTGTAGGTGTTAGAGTGAACTGTATAGGACATGGCTTCTTGCTTTACTTCAAATCTTCCTTTCCTTTGCTTGTCGTAAGAGGCGATTAATGGAATCGGGTGGTCAGGCTAGCTGACTTGGTTGACACGTCATCGGTTCGATGCTCATGCTGTTGATTACTGGATTGTCTGGTCCAGACTCGATTATTTGCAGACCGTTGCCATATAGCTGGAATATTGTTGAGTGCGGCACTCACTCACTCACTCACTCAAATCTTCCTTGGAGTGTTCAGTGGATAGTGGGTTCACCAGTTTAATTAATATTTATTCAAATCAGTTTGTTTAATTGGTGGATTAGAGAGAGTATGTTCAAATTGACTGTACGACTCAGAAGAGGGTAAAGATACCTGGAAGGTTTTCAAATGATCTGTCCCAGTTGGTGAGGATTGCCATCCAGTTGTGGGTTTTCTTTAACTTGTTTTGAGTTGTATAATTATCTTTTTCTCAGTGGCAGATTTCTAATACAGTGCTCTTACAGTTCATTTGTTGAAGTAGTCGGTATGACTGCCATGAATGTGAACCTATGTGATGTTACCTTGTATCAGGTCAGTTGTTGCAATAAACATGATAGTTTCTGGAAGTGCTGTGAATGTTTTTACCTCAACTGTGCATATATGCTCATCAAAAGAAGTAGGGGATCATGGAATACGAAACAATTGTTATCATTGTTAATATTTCAAAGACAACTGCCTCTAGTACATAAGTGGCTTATCAGCTGTCATCACACTAGACAATATGTTTTCAACAGTAACTGTCAACTACCTACTGGCAAACAAGGATAAGTTGAGCACCGACCTGACAATTGACCCGAATTAGCATGTATGAGTGCCGCCCACTGGCTTGCCATTGTTAGCGAAGGGGCCCCAGGTTGTCTGCGATCAAGTGTAGTGCGACTTGCTACACCGACATGAGAGTCTTATGAGCAAGGCGTGTGCAGCTACACACGGAATCAATTTCATCGTCATGCAATGAACGTGCACTAGCCTACATCTGCTCTACCTTTCACAACCCACTGTGCCTGACTGCCCCATGCATCTCTTAAAACCAGCATAGGTTGCTGGCTATCAGACACGCTGTGATATACCGGTGACTGGAAAACTGATGACAGCATTGCTACACCAAACTCGCAAATTCTAACCTGGAAT